CCCGCCCTGTCTATTCTGAATAATTATCCGATATGTTAACATCTTCCACAAGAATATCTTCCTGAATGTTGCCTTCATCACCTATGAAAAAAATTGACCTCTTCTTCAGGAGATTTATGGTTTCAGAATCAATAGTGACTGAGGATAGGTTTTACTACCTTATCTTATCCCTATCGTCTTTTGTAACAGTTTGATGCCTTCACTACAGAACCTACACAATTTATTCGGATTGGCTTAATCCTGCGCTTGCTTATTATTTTGTATCTAAGACAGAAGTAAAGATACCACGACTGTTTAGCAGACAATCGGTCAAAGGATTGATTTCACTTGTCTATTTGACTAATTACAATGTGGTGTTAGGACTGACATTGTTCACTTACGATGCTGGCTACGATTCCGCACAAACGTTTGGGAATGTTCCAAGTTCGTGCTTCTCCTCTGGAGATTATCATAACTACCAAGGGAGCAGATATAGGAATGGTATGTTACCCTTTCATTCTAGCAAAGTCGCGAGAACGGGCTCAAACCAGCACTGCACAGCTAAGGGAGTCTGCGATAAGTCTTAATATTACACCATCTTGTTTTGCAAATGCGAGATTGGAACTCTTTAATTTCAAGTATTATGTTCCACTTTCTATATAATAGTTGATTATAATATATATTATAATACCTAGTTTGGATGCATTCTGCATTCGTATTCTTTTGTGTCTTAACATTTCTTAAGATAGTTTTGTTAAAACCGCCTATATCAGCAAGATTTATACCTATAGAAGGGTATTTCTATATTTCGAATTTTCAAAAAAGTAGTAATGCCTATACAATGCCTCGGTGTAAGAAAATTTTTCTTTTTGTTTATTTCATCCTTAGAGTTAAATCGACTTCAGCTCATCAACCAACATCAGGCTTCTCTTGAAGAGGCTCTTCTTATTGTTACTAAGGTAGAATCTCTAATACCCCCTTTGGATGCTTATCAGAAGGATTTGATTTTGGACTCGTTTGAAGCTGAATTTCCTGTAAGAGTCTATTTTTAGTTTGATCAAGTAAATCTAATATTTTCTACGTTGAATTAACTTTAGACTGGTGCATATTCATCTCGTTCATGTCATTGTTCATCTCTTAATGGGAATTTTTAAGAAACCAATTTGTAGTTGGGACTCATCAGAATGCGATTGATTGCCATTGGCCTATTGAAATTCCCTATGACAGGTCTTTGAAGTCAGATGCTTTTGTTTAGAGGATTTATAAGCCCATACTCATTATCCTCTTTGTTAATCTCAAATCGTAAAAATATGTTGTATATATATGTAATTAGGTGTCGACACTTAGTAATTCTTTAATAAGAATTGTGTATTCTGGAATGCAAAGTATATTCACATTCATTTGAAGGATCCGGCAAAAGTACCTGACAATAAATCTTGAGTAACTACTCGGCTGAACCTGTCCAAAGTTAAAGAACTATTCATAATAGCATTGATCCTTCTTATGCTTGTATTTTTAGATTCAAAGCCTAATTTTTCAATACTCACACGTGTTATTCCTTTTACTGTCAGGAAGTCTGCTGCAAGCGTTACTAATAA